GACATACTCAAGGTCAGGCCTGTTGACTTGCTCTTTTCTGGAGCCAGGAAATACAGTCAATGCCACCTGAATCACATGGCCTGAGAAAAGGAAAACTGGATGTTGTCTCCAGAAGTGGGAGATCCAGAGAAAATAAAAGGGGCTAGATTAAGAGGATATTATGATACTCCTGGGTAGAGATAACCACAGTTTATATTGAGAGTAGAGATTTAAGAGGGACTTAGGAGAGTAAATACATAGAATTTTTATAATGAATTAGACAAGATGTTAAGAAGATTGAAGTATCAGAAGTGTGTCCTAAGTTTCATGTTTACATTACTGGTGACATCATTTACTGAAGAGTCAACACTAAAAAGGATTCACGTTAAAAGATAGGGGAGACAGGCAGAACTGCATGAGTTTAATTTAATTTAAAACACATTTAATTGGAGGTGTCATTGAGGTCCAAAGATCAGCTGGACATAAAGGTCTAAAGATCAAGAAAGGCATCTGGGCTGGAGATGGAAACTTGCCCAGCACAGGAACAGTTCATGGATTTGAAGGTGACCATGGATGGTGACAAAGGCAGAGCCAGATTTGGTGAATGGGTGGAACAGGTGAAAGATAAGGAAATAGAGACAGCACAGATATACTAGTTATTGTGGTAGATTAGATGTGGCTACAAATTAATTACTATTTCTCCCATTGAAAAGTGAAGTTTAATGTGCTTCTCAGTGATTCTGGGCTGGCTTTAGTTATTTGCTTGACCAGAAGAATGCTGCAGATGTAATATTCTGGGACTTCCAATATTAGTTCATAAGAAGCTTTGTAACTTATATCTGAGCCTCCTGGAACATGTGCTGTGAATAAGCCCAAATAGCCAGCCCAAATAATGTGCTCTTGGACAAATTATTAAGTTCTTAAGCCTCAATGTTCTTATCTATAATAATAAAAGTGTAATGTGCTAATTAGACGGGATATACAAATGACCTTCCAATCGTCCTTCTGGTCATCATTCCAGATGAAGCCTTGGTGGCGGGGGGCTAAAGCACAGGCAGGCAGGTGAGCAGCTAGGAGCCAGCAGTCCCCGATTGTGTGAGAGATCAGGCTGGTCTGAGGGACCATACCCACCCCCCACCTCTAGTTTGCATTATGAGTACTCAATATGGCTAGTTGCTGTTTTATCATTATTTCCCACTTAGTTTTGAATGAAATAAATTATCATAAGTGGAAATAAGGTTTACTTTTCTTTACAAAAGATAATTTTTATATTTTAATACAATATAATAATTTTAGTGGTAACTATAATCTTATTATAAGCTGTCATTTAACCCATTTTAAAGATGTGGCAAGTAAAATGAAAAAAAAGTGCAATACGTTATTAATTTTAAACATAGTTTAGACTTTGGATTAAATCCTAGATCTCTGCTCAGCAAATGTACCATATTATTAAATCAGTAGTCAACTAAAATATCTAATTAGAATTCTTAAAGGCAATACATTTGACGTTTGGTGTTGTTTTTGTTTTTTTGCAACACTGTGGGAACATTCAGTGGTGATATTTCGGAGGTACTTTACCATTTGAGCAGGACTTTTCTGAAGTTACAAATAGCTTTACTCTAGCATCATTCCCAGAAATGCCATCTCTGAAAGGCAGATATTTTTAATTACTACTTTAATCTAGTAATTGTTATAACCCAAAGAAAGATTTTTCAAGGAAAACCATTGCCAGATTAAATATTTGTAAAAATGCCACCTTAAAGAACTTATGCATATAATACAGCCACTAATTTTATCTGACTTGCATCTTTCAAATGAGAAAAAAAAATAGGAGCACTCAATACACCTTAACCATAACTAAAGCCACTAGCTTCCAAATAGTACTTCCCCATTTCCATAACCTCACTGGACAGTTTCCTGTGTAACCCAGTGAGCTTGCATTTCCCAGGCAGGAGGAGAAAGGAATCTTTTCCCACTCTTATTTCCTAAGAACCCCCTTCTCATCAGATTTATAGATAGTAAAGAGAACATTTACCTAGTTGCTCCTAGAAATTTAACGTTGGTTATATTTTTCCATCAAATGAGGTGAGTTAGTCTAATAAGGGGTCAGTGGCAACCCAGTTATACACTTCATGGATTTATGGAAGACAAAATCCTGTCCTTACCTGAATACTTTCCCAATATCACTCCTTCCCCCACCCCCTACTTTCTTGGAGAAGGAAATGCTTCTTTTGTGTCTAGGATACTAGAGAACCAGTTTCTGAAGTCCCCATGTCAGAATAGTGTGCATGACATGCTGTGCTGAGCTGATTGCCAGTAGACACCAGCCTTCAATGTTACTGCACCGAAAATGAGATGAACTGAGCAAGCTGGCAGGGAGAATATTGTCTTTGTTGATGCATTGATCATACCTGTATTAAATCCAGACTGCTGGAAAACTCTAATTAAATATTTTTAGGCATGATAATATCCACTGAGAATATCAAACACATCTACCAGTTATAAAAATAGCTGGGGTTTGGTAAGAAAGTTAATTTTTAAAAAATATATATTTTATTGATTTTTTACAGAGAGGAAGGGAGAGAGATAGAGAGCTAGAAACGTCTATGAGAGAGAAACATCAACCAGTTGCCTCTTGCACACACCCCCCCCCCCCGGGGGATGTGCCCAAAACCAAGGTACATGCCCTTGACCAGAATCGAACCCGGGACCCTTCAGTCCGCAGACCAATGCTCTACCACTGAGCCAAACCGGTTTCGGCAGAAAGTTAATTTTTATTCACTTGAATTTAAAAATCACCTAATATTCTCTGCTCACTTTTATTAAATAGAACTCAGGATGGTAATGTGTTTTACATCTGAACTTTAAAAAAACAAGCCAGTCTTTGGATAGCTCTTTTTATTTTAATTCTACTAAGAACAACAGCAAAACTGCAACCTCTCCATAGAACAAGGGTAGGGAACATCCAGCCCATGAGCCTTAAGGCCCAAGAAATCATTGGGTCTGCTCCTGCCAAGGCACAGGGGGTAAATTAATTAAATGTTTGACCAAATAAGGCAGGCTAATTTTTAAGTTGATCATTTTGTATGCCCTGTGAATGATGTTATAAATATCCAAAAAAAAAAAAAAAAAAAAGTTCCCCACCCCTGCTATGGAAATGTAGAAAGAAGAAAAATGTACCTAACACAGTGTCTAAAAAAAGTGAATAACTCAAACTTATGTTGCAACTACATGTGAATCTCTATCATGTTCTCTTAAATGCTCCTCACACTCCCAAATCACGGACAAAAAGACATGCCTGTGTGCTAAAAGTCAGTATTCCATACGAGAGCAGATGCTAACAGTATGACAGTGGCTACATTATTTTTGTACTCAGCCCCTCTTCTCTCCTTCCCTTTATAGAATAATTTCTATTCTTTTGAGTCTTATAACTGGATAAGCTCAAGGAAAAAAAAATCACATCAGAAAGAAGGGAAAAACCTTCCTGAGAACAGTATGATTGGCAAGCTGTAGCAGAGTCTGGCCCCTTTGCTTGGTTAACAAATATAACTGTAAACCCTTGGCAACTTTAAACTAATGTCCAAGTTAGAAGATGAAACAATGATTTGTAATGCTCTCTGTGCACAGTTACTTTAGATGCTTCAACAATATTGCGTGTTTCTCTCTCTCAATGGTAAACTTGTGAAAATTATCCCAATGATAATCTCAGCCTAATTTTCCACATAATTGTTCTATTTTTTTTATCTTAAGTGATGACTAATAAAAGATCTATGCCCACCACACACACACACACACACACACAATGATTAATAACATCATAAAGGCTGTGAAAAAAAGGAAGCCAACTGTAGTTTGGTTCACTTTATTATATAATTTGTGTATGTTTTCTTAAAAGCAGCACTTTAATGATACAAAAAAAATCAGCTCAATACTTTCAAATATTTTATTGAAAACATTAACACATTAATATATCAAGTGGATACTTTTTTCAGGCAAATAGATAAAGTAAATATTACCTAATTCATAATTTATGATACTATGGGTATTAAAATAGTGTAATTTTTGTTTATTTTAAGCATATATTGTTGTCCTGAATAATTTCTATCTTCCTCCACACACACAGATAAACTTACATTAATGGTACAGCATTTAAAGGGACAATTTTATTTAGCAGGTTTCCCTTGAAATATTGTTAAAATGGAAACATGTTTTTTTTAAATTTGTGACATCAACAGGACATAAACTGAGTTATGAGATGGTAAATATTCAGGTTTATCATCTAAACCAACTGCATTGTTATTTTCATTCCTACCTTAAAGATTTTATGTCAATGACTGCTAATTCCATTAGGGGTATTCTTTCAAAAAATCATGAAACAAAATATTTCTTCATTTAAACAATTTTATTTATGGTGGAATTTTCAAAATGTCTTGAATCTTGAAATTATCCACAAAGTACTATTTTGTGCTTACATTAAAAAGATGTATTTCTCATAAGAAAAGATAAAATATATACCATTAGACAGTATTATTATATTTTTATTTAATACAATATAACCAAAGAATTAAAGAGAAAAATGTTAAATATGTTTAAATTTTCCTATAACTAACTTTTCCAACTGTTCTAATGTTTGGAAGAAAAAAAATAAAGATCTAAACACCAAAGATAATATTTTGATAAGCGATATTAATAAAAAATATAATTTAAGCATTGCAATAAGCTACCTTCAATAAATCGCTCCCTATCAGAAATAATATTATTGGAACTAAGTATCTAAAGCAAAGAATAAGAATCAAAGAGAGGGGGCTGGGAGGAGAGAAAGGATGAAAAAAGAAAGAAGTATTAATGGCAATGGTCACTTTTTAGTTAAATACATTTCTTATAAAGTGGCAAGATAATATGTACAAATTTACAACGGAAGGGAAATCTTTTATATGTGAGTTGACTTGCTTTTGGACTCTTTGGGCATCCTTCTTTCTGTAGGTCCTCCTGGCAGAACTGATGGAAACTAGGCTTTTAGTTCATAGGACATGATAGATTAGCCTTGAACTAGACGCCCCTGGGGTTGCAGGCTGTGAATCAGTGCTGGCAATTGGGGAGAGAGAAGCCGGGTGCTGCAGAGGCAATCCAGGTTGCTCTGAGTTGGTGATCCGATCCACTATGCTGGATAAGCAATCCAGGCTGGATAAGGAGCTTTTATCTGTGGCATACACTATGGATACAAAGAGAAAATCGTTAAAAAGAAATTCCCAAATATATAGCCTTGCTTATGCTGTTGCCCTTTAAGCCATAGTTTAGCTCTTTTGAACCCAAGGGGTCAGCTGGTCTCAGAAAGCCTGATGTAGAAATCTTCAACAAATACTGAGCAATTCATCAGCAATGAATGAAGGGAGTGAAAAGTCCATCTAATACTATTGCAAGCAAAAGTGCACGTGTTTATATCTGTTAGGTGGATTTTTTATTTTAAAAAATGTGTGTGTATATGTGTGTGTGTGTGTGTGTGTGTGTGTGTGTGTGTGTGTGTGTGTTTTGCGTGTGTGTCCCTTTTGCTCTGCCAATAACTCTGCAAAAGAACCATTAATCTATTCCCTTCCTGGATGCTATGTGGAAGGAAGGACTGCTTTGACAGGTTCTAACTGGGAAGGTGAACTTGTCTTTAAACTCTTCTGAAGCTATCGATTCTTACCATTTGGTACATCAGGACAGTAGATGTGGTCAAAACTGCTGCTCTTTCTGGACCAGATAGGGCTGTTACATTCAGGCTGCAACATAAGACACAAAAGGAAGTTTGTTTTCAGGTCTTGGCAGAAGATTCTCTGCTCTAGAGGAAGGCAGTGCTTGCCCACCACGCTCCTTAAAGTGACCACTGTCAATCACCGTCATTGCCTTGATTTAGAGAGGGTTAGCCCGCCAAACTGCAGGGCACGGAGGTCAATCTCTGCGCTTGGAGAGGAGGAAAGCAGCAGCGAAGGGGAGAGGGGGTGGAATTCAGCAGCCATGTGCATTGGGTTAACCATGCAAAATGGATTGGAGGAGAAGGAAGCCACACTAATTCGGGGAGAGAACACTTTCCCAGGGCAAAAACACATTAAAACCTGGCAGTGCTGGAGCAGACGCCCTCTGTAAGGAATGCGTCAACATCTCCTTCCAGCCAGGCCTTTGCAGAGCAGGGACGGCAGCCCATCCGTTTCTTTCCGTCTCCTCATTAAGTTACAAACTGGGGGGGCAGTGGGAGCTTGGAAGAGACGTCTCTATAGATGTTAGTATACGACAGGGTATACTAACTTTGGAAATCAACTGAGTGATGGTGAAATATGCGATTGATCACTCACGGCCACCTAGGTCACGGGACAACTCTCTCTCCTGCAATGCACAGGAGCTAGAACCTGGTGAGAGGTCAAAGGCAAGTCCCGTTCAACAGCTGTTTCCTGGCATCTTTCCAAAGGCGGCATCTCTCTTCTCTCACAGCCACTGCCATCCCACCCCTACCTGCCAACCAAATGGTCCCTGAACATCTAGTTGCCACACCTGGTTTAAATGACACATGAGGAGTTTGGGGAAAGATAGGGGTGTGCCCGGGTGGGTACCAGGGCAGTCCTTACCATGCCGTCGGAGCAGTTGGAGGTGGGGCTGGCGGGCTCGGAGCAGCTCTGTCCCGGCATGCCCATGCCGTAGTAGTTCTCCACCTGCTCCCGCAGCAGCTCCTGCAGGCTCTCGATGTAGCGGATGGCGTTCCTGAGGATCTCCACCTTGGGCAGCCTCTGGTTGGGGTTGGTGGTGGTGCACCTCTTGAGGGTCTCGAAGGCCTGGTTGACCTTCTTGAGGCGCCTCCGCTCGCGCATGGTTGCCGCCTTACGCCTGTCCATGGTGGTGGCCTTCCTCTTGCACGCCTTGCAGGCCCACAGGAGGCAGTGGCCGGCCTGGTGGTGGCCCGAGGGTGCTCGCACGTGCTCGTCCTCGTCGGAGCCCGGCAGCTCCGCTCTGTGCGCCCCGAAGGTGGCCACCGGAGGCTCAAACTCGTCCCCGAAGTCGCCCTCCTCGGGGGACGGGATGCAGGAACCGTCGTAGAAATACTCAGAAGGTGAGAACTGGCAGCCTTCCATCACGTCCATTCCCAAAGGCCGCGCAGGCGGTGCCCCTGCACAGTAAGCAGCGAGGAGGGATGGGGAGGACCTGGAGGCTGGGGCCCCCGCACACCCGGTGCACACCCGGTGCAGCTCCCAGATCGGTCGCTCTGGTAATTAGCAAAGGCAGGCGCCTGGCGGCCCGGGTTGGCCAGGCTGGGGTTAGGGCTCTTTATATATTCTTGAGGGAGGGAGGCCGGCCCCAGCGGCCAGGCTCTATTAGCATATCCCACCGCAACCCCTGCCTCTGGGCCGTCTGGGCAAACCCCCGCCTACCCTCCGGAGACAGCGCGCCGTTACTGCCCCTCGGACAGACGCTAATGGTTTTACTGCCTTTCTGCAGGGCGGGGGGGCTGGGGGGTTGGGGGAGCGGCCCCCCAGCCCGTTCACTTGCACTCCCTAGATGGATTCGCATCCAGCGTGTTGCAGACCAAAGGAAGGAAGGGATCCCAACCCTTGGCCATGGCTCTCACCAATGTGAGAAATGCAAAAAGCCCACCTGCCTGCCCACAGCCTGGAGGAAAGGAATCACCTTATTGTTAAGCGTTTGTTCCTCTTTTTAAGGAACTTTAGTTATCTCGGGGTTTCTTTTTTTGTCAGTGGCCCGGAATAACAGTTGCTAAGGACGTAAATGGACACTTTCAGGCATGGGCTGAGTTTGGGTGGTTTGCAATGTCCATTTTGCTTTTGGGTCAGGCTGTCATGTCTAAGTCCTGTGCGGATTGAGGACAGACGGGAGCTCTGTGTCCTCTGTGTGTGCCCTCTGACAGGAGGCGTGCTCCAGGGCCAGGCGGTGGGGAAAGTCTTCCTTCCTTTCTTCCTTTCCGCAGGCGTTTCCCCAGCGCCTCCACCACCAGCCCTTCCCCAGACCCTGATCGGGCCTGCGGGCCTCACAGCCGCGCCTCTTGGATTTGCATGAGAAGAGCCTCAGTTTTAGAAGGTGAACCCCCTCTCCTGGGGCGCGGCCCCTCTCTCCCTCTCCTCCTGCCCCGCCCTGTCCTGGCCACAGACTAAACAGCCAAGCTGAGCTTCGGGGTCGCTAATTTTCTGCTTTCAGGCAAACGAACACCGTTACAGATGCATCCCAGCTGCCGGGACAGCGATCCCTCTCAGCTCGTGTACAATTTCCAGCTCAAACCCTGAGTAACTTCACACACTCCCGGGAATAAAAGCCTCCCAGCAAAGCCATCGTAAGGGGGCCTTTGAAACTTCGGGAGAGGGGAGGGCTGTCCTTCAAGCAAGAATAAATCTATTCATCAGCTTTTGCCAACCCTCCTCTGGCCTTAGCCCATGTCCAGATCACTAGGACCCGGGGTGCTGCTTATCGGTAAAAAAACAAAAAAACAATTGATTAGGGTTTACACAAACAGGCTTAAGGAGCCGGGGCTTGGGATCAGAGCTTGCAGTCCCTGTTAAAACAGGAGGGATTGTTCTCGCCCGGATCGACAGTCATCCAGTACAGTAAGTGTTGTGGCTCCGAAGGTACTTGGGGTAGTGTGGTGCTTTCCTTACGGCTACTTTTCCCAAAATCATTTTCCTAAAGTAACCCTGACTGGCTGATCCCAGTCCGCAGGGGCCAGAGAAGCGCTAACTTCTCAGGGTGAGATCTGCCCTCCAGAATTAGGGCCCGGAAACCAGGGGTGGGAGGGTGTCAGTCACTAAGGTTTGCTACGGGGCGCTGGTAGCAGTCTCCTCGCCCAGGTTTTGTGGCCCCCTAAGGCAAAGACACCGCTACCACCACACCCACACCGTGAACACCCAGCTCCCTTCCCCACCCACGGATGGGCTGCTTAATTGTCTGGCCTGTGGGAAATCGGGCCGCACCTTATTTACAACTGTTAGCAAGTGGATGCCTTTGAAAGGAATACAGCACCCAGGGTTATACCAGATAACAGTCAGTTTCCTAAAGGACCCAGGGGGAATGAAGGCTGTATCCTCCCAGGTAAAAGCATTCCCTTCTGTGCACGTGGCTGCCTCTGAGATACTGCAGTGGGGAGATATTCTCACCCAGGAATTCTAAGCCAGATCCCACAGGTTCTGGCCCGAACGCAGCAATACCAGCACCTCCTTTGGCAATGGAGCTCAGATGTTAGCACCCTGGCCTCAGCTCCACAGAGTTATTATGCAGGTTTATGATTTGGGCAAAAACAAATGCGCTCTTAACTTTTAGGTGGGAAATGGAAGTTAGGCTCCCGCTGTTTTCTTTCCTCAAGGCACCGAATGGGCTTTGTACCCAACCCCTCTGCGTGGGATATTTGTAGCAAACAATTATGAAGACTTTTCTATTTGCCAAGGCACATTCTCAACCCTATCCATGTATGCATTCATCCATCTACTTCTTCCAATGATTCCACGGGAAGTACTTGTTTTTAGATTCACTTTTTAAAGAGGGTAACCAAAGTTCAACTTGGAGGTAGTAATTAGCCACAGGCCACTGAGTATTGGCAACTAGGCATCCCTTTGTCTAACTTAGGCTTCTAAAGGTGAAATGTGTTTGTTTTCCTTTTCTCCCCACTCAGGCACAGCGCGCCTGCTTTGCGCTGCGGAGCAGAAACTCGCAGCGGGGACTTCTTTCCCTGCACTCCGTTCCGGTCCGGAAGAAGCTGTGGCTCCGAAGGAAGGCTCTGTCAGTAGCGGTAGTTCTCAGAAGTTAGTGCTGTCTTGGGTAAGGTGATCTCGAAAGACTTTGCCCACAGTGCGGCTGGCGAGTGGAACTAAAGAATCCAAGAAAACACGAGTCTGGTGGCTTAATGGGACTTGCTAGGCGGGTGACAGGGTCCTGGTTTAAGGACCCTTGGGATTCAAGTGCTGAAAATAGGATCTCAGAGCACCAAGGGGGGGGGGGGGGCGGAGGGGTGAGAGAGAGAGAGAGAGAGAGAGAGAGAGAGAGAGAGAGAGAGAACTTTTAAACTATGTCAGGGGCCAGAGGAAAAAGAAAAAAATAAACAAACAAACAAACAACAAAAAAACAAAACAGGAGGCAGTATACAAAGAAAGCCAGCACCTCCAAGATGCCTAGGGCTCCCAAATTCAGGAGAGGCTCCACTGCTTTTTTCCTAGGGGAAAACATGTGAGAGGAATATGGGAAGCTGGGTGAGCAATCCAGAGGGGAAAAAAATCTTCTGAGTGGAGAAGTTGAACAGAGAAATATGAAAAAGTTAAAAATCACTTAAAAATATCTGCTGGGTATTCGGGTATTCTCTTTTACTCAAAGTCAGATTAGATTCTGGCTTTTGTTCCTCATAGAAAATAATAAAAATACAAACTATTTTCCACCATTTCTCCAGAGAAGTGGACCTCTGACATGTTGAGAAAACGCGCATGTATTTAATTAAGTAATCAGGTTGTTAGAAAGGATATTTCTCAGAAAAGGCAGACGACGAGATGAAAACCAAGATAAGGCCTGTGGTTATAAATGAAAGCCCACCAAGGTCCTGGTGAAGTAAAGAGATGACTTAATTTTTACATTTTATGTTCTTCATGAAAATAATCACGTTTGATTTTCTTACAAGTTAGACTTAAAGAAGGTTTTAATTGCATAGACCTTTAAGTAATAATCAACCTGTTTTGTTTTGTTTTTTTGGGTGTGTGTGTGTGTGTGTGTGTGTGTGTGTTTTAAGGTGACCTATTTTGGTTGAAGCATTATGGCAACAATCTTCGTGTTGATGGACAGACAACACCAGCAAAATGATGCCCAGAGCTTCCTTTACTAGTAAAATTTGCCTACCTTAGGAATGCTTCTCTTAGCTGGAGAAGACATAGTCAGAGACATACATCCATTTCAATCCACTTCTGCTTCTACTTGAGACAATGATCAACTCTTGGACGAAAGGAGTTGTTCCAGAAATTTTTGCTTATTATATATGAGTTTACAATGTGCTAAACAATTTGAAACTGCTCTTTGCTCTGGGAACCAGGAACACCTAAGTAAACACATTAGTACCTGCCAAAGCTGCTGGAAAAGTTTGTGGAGAAGACAGCTGAGGAAGACATTGGCCTCTGCTTGAATTCGAAGGCTCCCAGGAGAGATCAAAGGCCTAAATAAGGACTTTCAGCAGCCTTGAGAGTAGAGAAAGTAGCCAGTTCTGGCAACATTATCTTGGTTCCAACAACAAGGATAGCCATTCCATCTCATCAGCTGACTCTGACCAAGGCTTTTTTTTTTTTTTTTTTTTTTTTTTTTTTTTTTTTTTTTCCCTTCAGAATAAAACCTCTAGGACCAAGGGTCATCTTTTCTAACACTTCTTTTGAGTTTAAGGGAGTCACTCAGGGGTCTGTTGGATGAATGTCTTGATGGGCTGGCTCTTTGAGGAAAAACCATGTTATTGCTAATTTACTGATGCATTAAATCAGGAAATGATATATTCAAAGTTCAAATTAAAACATTTAAAATATTTTAGCTATCATTTTCTGGGAGGGTGATTTTGAGATAAGTAAATGGGATAAAATATTACTTAGAGAAAGTACAAATAAATACTTTGTAACTTTAAATAAAAAATACTTTTAGGTTAAAAATTACTTTAGCAACCCAAGACTTCTCTGGCAGTCACAAGAGTAGTTGGAAACACTGAATTTCAGCACCAACTCTCACACTGCCCCAAACGTGAAAAAGTAAAAAAAGAGAAAAAAAGAAAAAAAGAAAAAAGATTATATTAGACATAAGTGGATTTCTATGATCTTCAGGCTTTAAAGTCAATGATTCAGGTCTGATAATTAAAGATAGAGAAAGCTGACAGTTCATATTTTACAAATTATTTCTGTAGTAATATAAAACAGAAAATCACTCATTATTTCATACTTGATAATTTTATGCCTGTCTCTGAGAAGAGGCTCAGTTTAATTCCCAATTACTTATCTTTACCAAGTTATTACATCTTGATTTTTTTGCTTCCATGGCTCTATTTGTTTTGGCTTTGGCCTTAATAAAGATTGTCATCATTAGTGGCCAATAAAAACACTTTAATTGCAAACACACCAAGGATTTCATTGGAAAGCCTCCTAACATGTTAACTATATAGCAATGGAGGTCACAAGAAGCCTTTGGGAAATATTTGCTCTATTTAACGAAGAGACTTCTATAGGCAAACTTACCCTAAACAATTTCTCAAATTACCCAACGAGGAGAGATAGAGAGGATTTGGTTTGCAAAGACTGAATCACATCTATCAGCAAGTAAAGTCTATGAACTGAAAAAAGCATTCTGCTACTGAGTAGTTTAAAATGCAAATTTTATAAATATGTGTGCAATCATAAATTAATCTACTTGGTCAATTATAATATTTGACTTCACTATGGCATGAACTTGATTTAAAAAAAAAACATTTCAGGGAAAAATGTTATTGATCCTCAGGAAAAAAATAATGGATACCTAATAAGGATGATTAATGGTTCTACACACCACCCAGACATAGTCACACATGTCCTGATTGGATCGTTTGAAATGCTTTCCCACTTCTTTTTAAATTAAATTATTACTCTAAGGTAGAGTTTACTAGATAATCTTTCTTGAGACAAAGTTTTTGGTGAATAATTGCTAAAGAGAGCCAACTTATTCTACAGACAATAAGTGTTCCTTCTCATTTCTCAAGCCTTCTTTTTTGGGGTGCATGGTGATTGGGAGAACAAGCCTTTGATAGCAGCTGGCTCTGAGTCCTGGCTCTCTATTTACAGAACCGCTCTGTCCCAAAGAGTCCTTTTCTCTAAACTAGATGTGACAATCGTACTTCTCTTGCAGCTTGTTGTAAGATGATATGAGCTGAAATGTAAAACTCCACAAATGGCTCATTCATGTTGCTCTTGGTCTCATTGTTATTGACACTTTCCCCTACAAGTGGATCGGAAGGAAGGGTGGCTTTTGATGGAAGAAATGCCTCCTGATGATCAACTTATATTTACAAATGAAAAACAAAGGGAGTTGGCATTGAGTGTTTTTACTGTGCACTCGTTTTTTTGTTTTTTGTTTTTTTTTCTAAGCAGCTTACGTGCGCTATCAGTAAATCCTGACAACCCCATGAGTTGAGTACTGTTATTGTCCCCATTATTTTATACATGAAGAAATGGATACAGAGAGCAGCAATTACAGCCCAAGGCTACCCAGTAGCAGCCTGGATTCAGTCAAGTTTGTCAGCACCCACGGAGGCCAAGGCCGCTTGCACCCACTAACACTCCTGCCTGCTCTTCTTAAACCTTTGGGAGGGATTACATATTTCTGCTGTGAAATTTTCCACATTTCAAAAGCATTCTAGGAGAAAGTAGAGGCTCAGAAAACAAAAGTGGCTGTTACTCTCAGTGCTCCTTTTGAGGTGGAAAATGGGCAATTCCTGCTCCAGGCCTGAAGGGGGCGCTGCCCGTAGCGGTGTCTGAAACTGTGTTGCACAGCAGGAAGGTCCAACATGGCGTGTTAGGAAGCAAGGTTGGGTTGGGAAGTACTGAATTCAACTTGATTTTCATATTTTCGAACTGAGGACTGACTAGCTGTGAGGATAGAGAGGGAAGAGAGGAGTGGGGAGAGGGAGTCCACTGGAAGCTGCCATTTACAGAATGCAGGAGAAAAGTCGTGATTCCAAAGAAATGGCTAGCCCCTCTCCTCTGCTTTACTTCCCACTGCGATTCTTGGTGGTCGCTCCTTCATGTGGTTACAGGGTAAACAAACCTGGCACACGTTGTAAAATCCTCACCCTGAGGAGCTCCTGGGGATGCGAGCCTCTCTGGGGTTTTGCTGTTTGGCCCAGCTAAGAGGTTTCATGTGTGTTGTTGTTGTCCTTTGCCCTCAGTATTTAACCCTTCCCTCTCTTCCTCTACAAAACCCACCCCACCTCAACAGACTGTTTCCTTTTCTCTTTCTGTTGGAAAACTAACCCAGGCCGCACAAGGCCTTGAGGGTAGTCCAGCCTTCTTGCCACCAACTAGTTCAGGAAAACTGGGGAGGGCCCCTGAGGCCTGGCAGTGTGGCCTCTGGGTCAATGCTTTTTATTCAAGGGCCCGGGCTGGAGAAAGTCAAAGAGGGAAAGTCATTTGGTCTAAATTAGCTGAAGATCTTTTAGGAAAATAAGCAAAACCTTTTTTGTGTGGTAATTTCTTGCAACAATGAGATTTCACCGGACTGAAAAGTCAGTTGTTAACTTTGGGTAAGCAAATCTCACCCAGAGCTCCAGGTACAGGACAGAAAGAGAAAGAGAAAGTGTGCTGATACAAAAACAAATATTACTAATAAAAAGGATAATTTCCTCCTGGATATTCCTCATGTATAGGAAAGGAAACAGTTTAGTTCAGACATAGAAAAACAACCCATTTTCCTCCCTTTAAGTCAGTCTTTAAGAAATCACCCAGATAAATGGGCGGTGTAATGTCTAAATTAGCATATGGCTCTCTATCTTCCTCAAGCATATATTTTTTCCCCTGCTGAATCAAAATAGGACCAACTTTATTCATACAGAAACTCATTTTTTTTAATATTACAATACCAGGATCCTCTCACATTGTATATACAATATGTCTGTTACTTTACAATATATATTTCTTAGGTTTGTTTACATATAAAATGAAAGTACTAAGATTATTTACAAAATATACATTCGATACCCCTAACATTTAGATGCAGCGTTCCCACTTTGTTTTTAGACAGGAATGAACTTCTTTGGGTCGTGGCACAAAAAGAATCACCGCCATCAAAGTAAATATATTATAAAACCAACCAAACAGTAAGCCGAGGAAAGCTGCTAGACCTAAGCCACTCGCCGCTCCAAACAATCAAAGCCCAAAGCCAAAGGCACCTGAGGAGCGCGCACAACAGTGTCAGAAAAGTTTCTTTGTGTCTCATTCCCTTTCTTCAACTTCTGCAGTCTGGGCTCCTGCCCACGGATGTCATGGGAAGGAATCCAAAGGGTCCGTCGAAGGAGAGAGGGTGGGGTGATCTTCCTGCCGCGGTGAGCGTCCCAAACGCCGGCTCCACGTTACTTCTCCACCACCTCCTCCGCGCAGGGGAGTTTGCGCTCCTCCGAGGAGATGCTGTCCACGATGGAGGAAAGGCACCGAAGGCTGCTCGAGGCTGAGGAATCAATGCTTGCCCCTCCTGAGCACAGAAAACACACAGGCATAGCAGCTCCAGGCCTCAGGCAACTCGGGGAGCACAGGGTCCCCGCGCGGGAAAAGCGCGCCTCTCCCCGGGCGCGTCCCCGCGGTGGCCCTGAACGCGGTCCGCCCGGCGCGAGCAGCCAGCCCCTCCCGGGGTGTCCCCCAGCGCAGCGCAGCCAGCGCCCCGCTTTTCCTTACCTTCCTTGGCAGTGATCACCAGCCCCCTGGAATGATCCGAAACACTGGGCCACTGGGAGCTGCAGGTGCGCAGGAAATCCGCACCCTCGAGCTGGGGAAAAACCAAGGCGGCAGATTAGAAAATAAACACCGGTTCCGGGGGGATGGGGTGGCTTTGTGGGGACGTCTTCCCAGCTTCCTCGAGCCAGGCCAGGTGCGCATTTCCTGCCTGTGGTGGGCACCCCGCGTCCAGGGGTCACCGGGGGTTCATTAGAGAGGGGGCTGGAGGGGCGGGCGAGGAAGGGGCCGGGGAAAGAGACCGAGCAGCTGGATGGTAAAGCCCCAGGGGGAAAGAAAGCTTCTAATCAGACTCTGGATGTCATTCCCCTGCTTGGGCTGCATCTGGCCTTACATTCTCCTGTTTGGGTCTGTAGCTGAAGGGGTCCACCCCCAGCTCCTGCATTTTCTCCTGCTGGTCCAGCCGGTGCAGCAGGTCCTGCAGCCGCTCAATGTAGCTGATGGCGCTCCGCAGGATCTCCACCTTGGGCAGCCTCTGGTTGGGGTTGGCCACGGTCCTCCGCTTCAGAGCCTCGAAGGCCTCGTTGATTTTCTTCAGCCGCCTCCTCTCGCGCAGGGTGGCGGCTTTCCGCCGGTCAGTGGGGGCAGATTTTCTCTTGCAGGTCTTACAAGCCCAGATGAGACACTGGCCCGGACAGTGGGGAGGCTGCAGGCCTGGGGGCGCCAGGACATGTTCCTCTCCGCTGCTGTCGCTCCCAGCTTCCGGGGGCATTTGGTCCTGGCAGGGGGATAGGGTACCATCGCTCCCTGGATACAGAGGAGAGCCCTCTGCCACTTCTAATGGCTGCAGGGTAACATTTTCCCCGTCCAAGTAAAAGAAGTAGGAGCCAGTTTCGAAAAGGTCCATCATCATGTTCGCCTCCTTGGCCTCTGACTCAGTCTGAACCGGGTGATGGGCTCAAAAACCCAGAGGAACCACCCAGATGGCATTTAATTAGTGCGGTGACATAAGTCACCCCAGCTTTATATATAGTAGCTCCTGAAACTCAATCCAACTTTTAGCTGTCATGGAGCATCAGTCTCCCAATGTGGCCAGTGCTCCTGAGAACATCTAGTTTGAAAAGAAAACTGAGAAGTGTCACCCCCAGAATGATGTGACGATCTATATGCAGAACAGGTTGAAAAAAAATTCACAGAGAGAATAACTACCATTTAAACACAGAGTCCAGTGCTTCCATTTGGAGGGCAGTTCAAATGCTAACCTGCTTACAGTACAACTTCAAAACAACCGGGGATTAACACTGCCCTTTTCCCCTCCCCCAGGCTCATCTGAATTCTAAGTATAGTTCCATGATGAAAGATTTCAAAGGCAATAGCCATTGCTCCAAAATATCCTGGTTAGTATTTGCAGAGTGGTTCAGTTCTTTTCTCTCCTGTCTGTCAAAAAGATGCTATTCCTGTGGTTAAAACCATTACAGTCCTTCAAAGGGTTTGCATGACTTTCAGGCTGCAGCCTCAGTAGCAGCAGGTAAATCTCTTTCCTCTCTTTTAATAAGGCAGTTAGATCGTTTTTTGGGGAGCTGGAGGGGGTGGTTGGAAGGTGCTCAGATTCCTTCCTTTGCTATCCTTTTTTTTTTTTTTTTTTTGAGGGGTGGCAACTAAAATCTGAATTCTGTACCCCTCCATGGTGGCACAGCAGTACCTTTGAGGTAAGGGGTGGAGCAGAGAATGTGAATGCAATACATGTAATAAACTGTTTAAAGACAGTTTTCCGTGGAAACGAGACTTTCACTAAAACTAGACGATGTTTCAAGACTCATTGTGGCCCCCACTCTCAGGTGCCTCTGTTATGGCTCCTGTTCTGCACAGCTTTTGCATTGGTGTGCTCGATGTCCATTGACTCCAAATCAGTTGTTTCCTAGGAGTCAGATGGGCAAGGCAGATGCTGAAGCACAAGCAAAGCAATAGAACTTTGATTACTGCTTCCCTATGGTCCAATGCACACAAGTATGGTGGCTGGAAGGCAGTACGATATGAATCGAAGAGGCCCTAGATTCGAAGGACTCCCTTGAAGTCCTAGCTTAGTTCATTTCTATTTATGTGTGCCTAGGTAAGCATTAGATCTCAATTTCTTCAAAATAATTGTAGTTGCTTAACGGAATTCTGGTGAGGGTTTGATCACATGATAGGCATGTGAAGCCTATAGCCTATATTAACTGCTTGATAAGCATTAGTGCACAAGGCTATGTTTGGGCTCAGACCATTTCTTATGAATGCTCTATTGCAGAGCCGCTTCTGTTCTTTTGCTATTTTTTTTCCTCATTTGTTACTGTATTCTTTCCTTCCTCTTTTTTTCTTTCCTTTTTATTCTTTCATTTCTTTTTTTCTTTTCTCTTTGTTCCTTTTCTTTCCTTTCTTTTTCTCCTTAGAGTTCTGGAAGGACCCACACCACCTGTAAGTGGCCTTTGAAATGAGAATCATCTTTGGTTCAGGCCTGTATAGTCAGTGCCTGAAAAACCAGATAGAAACCAAGCAGTGATAATTATAGGCTATGTTCAATATGACTTCATTTTTTTTATAAATGAATAGAGTGAAGGCAATGCCAGGAATCAATGGTCAGACAATGTAGGAACTAGCTATATTTTCCAGCCAAGTCGCTTATTTAAAAGATAATTCTTCAGTCTCTTTATATTGAGCCATAGGTGTTAGGTTGACATTAGGGGCTGTTTTTATGTTTTTGTTGCTGTGCAGCAGAGTAATTCCTTATCAAATTTGAGAATGAATCATTTTTTTTTTTGGAAAAGCAAGGAGCATAGGTAAGAAAAACAATAATAAGATCTGTATTTTGTGACAGTTTCTCCTATTTCCGCCAGTGCCCTGGTTGCGGTAATGTCAGCAGTTAAGGCTGCAGATTGGAAACTCCAACAACACAGGACAAACACCCATTATGGGAAGTTATCCTGTGCTCTTAACCACACTCTTATGCTGCATTTTACAATGTAAAGATAACTTAAAAAGGAGTGTTTAACCAATATAATTACATAGCATAGTTGCAAAGATTACTAAGATAATAATAACTGAAATTCATTTATTCAACATTTTTGGGGTCCCAGACAGTATCCTGGATACTATGGGTAAAAAGTGAAAAAAGATCACTTTTCTTGTGGAGTTTGAATGTAGAAGGGTAGGTGAAATTGACAACAATATATGTAAAAACAGTGTGTGGAGGAGAAATAGCCCTGGAACTGGGGATGGATGGCCTAGATTTTAATCATTTGGGCCTGTGAGGGTTTAATCAATTCTAACACCTTAAATTCCCAATTTTCTAATCATAGAATTGATACAATGACAAAAGATATAATCTCAAAGACCGGAATAAATATGACATTAAAAAAAATGTGAAAATCTGAGTCAGGAAAAATATTGCTACTAATGAATTATGTTGCTTGGATAATATAACATTTAAGGTGGTATCATTCTTAGACTCACCACTGATTTTAAGAGATATTGGATAGATGTGAGAGTCAGTACGTCATGAGCTGCTACAGAATAGGAAAGTGTGCTCTTTCTCCTTTATTTTTCCCTCATTCAAGTGTTCCCACTTGAGAAATAGTGAGTTCAAAATGTAGAAAGAGAAGATTCTAGAAAAAAGTAGAAAAAAATCTTTGAAGTGTTGGTCAAGAATAACCCCTTGACATTCACTATCAAATTATCATTTCTTATCAAATTACAAAGCTCCTTTCCAACATTTTGTAGAATTTGTAAAATTAACGTAGTTGTTCATTTTGGTCTACATTGTTGTTGTTTTGGTCTCTCTCTGTTGTTGTTTTGTGTGGGAATGGGAAAAGAGAAAAGGAAATGCCACCTTGGGAAATAACCATCCTTTATTAGATTAGGTAATGGGAAAATATGCAATGATTCCAAGTGAATTAGTAAACTCTTGGAACTCCAACTGTTTGCAAAATATGAGATGTCTGTAATTGCAATTACATTACTTCTCAGAAGAGTTTGGAAGCTACAAACCTTGACAAGTGGTCAAGACAGGTTTATGAAAACTGAAATCCCCCAGGCTTTAAATAATTTAAATTACATGTTTAAAAATTATGGGAAAACGTAGATAATAATAAGAGAACAATAATATTAAGTTCTAATAGTTTACTTAACAAATCTAAAAGTAGGTTAGTGATTGAGTTTTCAAACAGTTTGCCACCCCATTGTTCTTACTTTACACTTAGGTATTTGTAAATGCATTTCTTTTTATCATCTTAATAAAAGACTATGTCCAGTTCTCTCCTTGAGAAGGAGTGGGAGGGAAAGGATTATGACTCTTTCACTCTGGTGGATTTTAACTCTGAGCCTTGGGACAAGTGGTATATGTGATGGGAAAACAGAGCTCAAAGTAAGACAGAATTGAAGTTCTAGCCATTCTTATATGTTCAAAGTTTCATTTTATAAGAGATCAAATGGCATATGTAATACATACATTATAGGTTTGTTGTGTTGTATATAATGTATTGTGCAATAATGTATGTTGAGTCATGATATGAAATAACTCAACAAATGTGAATTTCCGTTCTTCTCCTACTCAATTCATAAGGCCTCTTATTTAAATAGCCACAGTGAATTAACTGAAAAACCTAGATTTGGTGACACTGATGTTTAAAATAAAGTTAGGGATTTATTTGTTAATGTTATATAATGGAAATGAAAATATTGAAACTAATGACCTTATATCATAGTATTTCACGTATTTTACCCTTAACATATTTTCATGGAGGACAGACATTAATTTAAAAATCATACAATGAAATAACTGAGCTGGGAATGGAGAGGAATTTGGTTCTACACAAGTCTAGAACCATGAAGAGTTTGTCATGAATGGGGAGCTTAGGAAAGAATGACTGGAGAGAGAAGTTGCTGAGATGTTGGATTGGTATTTCTAGGGAGCAAAGTTGAAGCTTCATAGCAAACCTGGAGATTGAGAAGATGACAGTAAGAGGAAGCTCAAGGAGTAAATGGACATGGGTGAGGACTTGTTATATCAACTGGCGAAGATATTTTTGTGGGTTAGGTCTAAGGGATATGACTATATTGTTGCATAGTTGTGTTCAATGAAAGCAGTTTCAGTTATAGCTGAGAAAGTAGGACTGGGGGACAGACAAGAAAATGATGATACTGCAATTTACCTAATCTGCAGACAGTTTGTGCCCAGAGATTTCCAAATACTGTGGTAAAAATAGGTTTGCACTTAGACCCACATAACATTCCAATATTGAAAAAAATAGATGAGAAAAGGGTAGAATAAAGAAGGGGCTTGGGAGAGGAGAAAAAGAAAATGAGAAGAACCTACTCCACCATGCTGATAGAGAAAGGATCAACTAGGAAGGCAGCGAGTGTCTCAACAGCAGGTGAAGGCAGCCCCGCTGCCTGAAAGAGAAAATTCAGAAGAGTCAGATTAATGCTTTGAGCTAGTGGTAGCTAAATGAGTAACAAGAACCTGTGCACCTGTAACTTACCTAATCGGCAGCGAGTTTGTGCCCAGAGATTCCCAAACACTGTGGTAAAAATAGGTTTGCACTTAGACCTACAGAGCATGCCAGTTACTTCAGAAGAGCTGGGGGAGGAGCACTAACGAAGCAAAGGAAAAGGAAAGATTTTAAAGACCAAAATCACATGGATTTTGCAATCTCCAGATGGTGGCCATGAGAAGTGATACAGAGAAACGAGGATGCCGTGGAGCAGCCCTTTAAAAACAGTTCCGAAGAAATTAGGCGATGATATAAATCACTAGTTTCACGGAGGAACCATGAAATACATATTTTGCTCTCACCCCTAATTCCCTCCCAATCAGGAGTAGAATGTGACTGCCACAAAAACCTGTGTTTACCGGTAGTTGATGGTATTGCTGCAAAA